TGTCCTTGCTCATGCAAAAGACAAATCTCAAAAAGATCAAGCGAAGCTCGAGATATGAATGAAGACGTCTTCATGATTCTCAACCACGGGCAATAGGGTTTTGAATCTCCGAATTAGGGGAGTTCGACCTTAAATGCAAGGCCTAAGCTTAGTATAATTAAATAAAAGCTCCGACCCGTCGGAAGGCGCGCGCAGGCCGCCGCAGGGTTTTGGGGGTTTGGCAACCGACACTCACGCATTGCCCGGTACGTACCTGAACCGCGAGCTTCCCTTCGTCAGGACTCAGGAAGTATCGACGGCTGCGAAAAATCCGATTTGCCCGCGCGCACGAAACCGTTGACCCGGCCTGCCTGTCGAACACTTCTCGAATAGCAACAGTCCAGCGCCCCGCTCATTTGCGGTTAATTTACCGACTAGGTATATTGGCCTGCAGGAGTAGGTACTTCAGCGTACCTACTGCGCTACTACATACTGGTAACTACCTAACGATGTTGAAGCGCACTGATCAAGACTGGTGGTGCACTGCATGGGTATGAGCTGGGCCCTAACGATGAGTAACGACCATGCATGCATATACGTCCGGTCATGCAATGAACGTCTTTCCATACAGACTTTGCGCCGTCAATGCAGTCAACTGCAAACATCAGCTTGATGAGCAATGCACGACAGTGACCGGGCCACCCCGTCTCAAAGGCGGGATCGATTGCATGTTCTCTCTCAAGGTTATAATTGAACGCTATTCAGCTCTGCACAGATCGACTCTGTCAAATTGTTGTCAGGCATATGCAAAGCGCACCCGTCTGCCTGGCGCCGCTTCTTCAATGACAAGAATAGCCTGGAGGACACTGCCCCAAACTCTCATCCTGAAGCTATGAGATAGGTAACAACGTCTTGAAAAGTGTCCATGGTGTTACAAGGACGTCTTCCTCCTCTAGCCTATGAAGTGAGATGCTCACGTATCCCTCACAGATTGGGGCACCCCAATGAGGCTGTGCTGTGAGGTGTTTAGAAAGGAAGCTTGTCTTTTGCCTTAGTGTGCCTTCACCACTGAGATCCACGAGCAGACAGGATGTGCTCAGTAATCGTTCGAAGGGCTCCAGCAATTAAGAGGCAAAGATTGCAATGCTGATCAGAATTGCTTTGAGATCCGAGTGTTAGTCTGTTCGTAGGCCCAAGCCAAAGGGACCCAACCTAGCCCAATTAGAGCAGCTTTCACAAAAGTGCGCCATTGGGCACTCCTAAAGGTTCAAAAAGAGGCAGGGAGGATCATGCGGTTCGAAAAACGTATAGGGGGACCAGTCACGTGCCTCCACGCTGGCGGCACCCTGGCGCACACGCAGAGGGCACATGAGTCCCCGGCCCGCGGCAGACCCGGCAGTGCTGCCCCAGGAAGAGCCTGCTAGACCCAGTAAGGTTCCGCTTGACCTGACCAGGTTTGTTTTTTATTTTGAGCAGTGCTTCCAAAGGAAGAGCTAGACTGGGTGAGGTTCTGCTTAACTTGACCAGCTTTCTTGACCAGGTTTGAGCAATGCTGCAGCAGGAGCCCGCTAGACCGGGTGCGGTAAAGTTCCGCTTATGAACAGATCAGGTTTCCAGGTTTGAGCAATGCTGCCGCAAGAACAGCCCGCTATACTCAGTAAGGTCCCGCCTAAACACTTACAATATTCAGGTCGTTTTGTTTCAGACTTTGAGCAGGGGTTTGAAGGAGCAGCAGTTCGCGGAATCAGGTAAAGCTTTGCATGCGATTCAATTTTGATCACCTTGGTCTTCATTTTTGAGCAATGCTGCTGCCCGCTGAACCCTAGCGCCACACTGTTGCTGTAAAGCACGGGGGAATCATCCCATGCAGACGTGCGATCCGTTTGCTCAAGAATGGTCGGATACATTGCGAGTCTCGGGCAAGGGGGCTGGCTCACTAAAAGCTATGCACCCACGTGATGGATTCGCTGACATGCCTTCAAATGAGAAACTGATGATGCAGTGCCAAATTGAAGTCTGAGAATGCCCCTTTGATTCCTTGGAGTAACGCGCATCGTTGGGTGTTGAGCATCAAGGAAACAGCATCTTATGTGGGGGTTGAAGAATGCAACATTCTGCGCACTCACTCAGTCTAGCGCTTGTCCAAAGTAAGTAAACAAGGTCGTTGCCGCATAGCAACGTGACAGCTGGCAGAAGACAAGCTGTCAAAGCTGGCTCTCTTATCGCTTGTACTTTGATACCCACGTTCAAAGTCGGTCAAAGCAGATAAGGGCGCACTTTTCTATGGAGCTCGCTTTGCTGGCCAGTATTTGAGTGGAATCTGTTGGGTGAAGCGTCACTTTCAATGGCCCGGCGGATAAGCTCAAAGCTTATTTTTCGCAGGGTTTCATAGTTGCCTGTATGTAAACGAAGAACGCGTATACTGTTGGAGGTTCTTAGGCGTTGGAGTCTTGCAAGATACAAGATACAAGTTACAAGATACAAAGATACAAGATGCAAGTTGCCGATTGGAACAAGCTGGTACATTCTTCCAGTGGGAAGTTCTGGCAAAGGTCTCTGACGGGCTAGCAGTGACACCTGGCGTCAGGACCGAAAACGATTTCAAGGGATCTCGCAATACTTCCGAAGAGAGATAGAGTCGGAGCTGATTCGAAGTCATGAGCACCATCTTTCTGAAAAGTCTGAACACAATCTGCACGTGCAGACGGGCTTGAAGATTCTCGAGCATGGTTTCTGCTTACAAACAGTCTCAAAAGTCCGATAAAAGCCTGTCAAACAACCGAAGATTTGCGCAGCCAACTTGCTATTCTGTTGCGTGTGATCCATTGGACATTGTCTTCTTACCAAATGGTAATCGCTTTTCCTTTACACAGGCTGGGTCGACTCTCTGTTAAGCCTCCGCCGCCGTGCTTCCTCCCGCTACCTTATGACCGGAAACCCTAACCCGCCCGCAAACTCCGCATTCGAAACCGTCGTCGAAACCATCCCCGGCCAAGCCATGAGCAGCTCAGACGCCAACCTGGACGATGTCAAGCGCCCCCCCCAAATCAACACCTCAAAACCACCCCCCAACAATGCGGCGAACGCGTCGGGGGGGTCCGTCCCGGTCTCTAACAACCCCCTGGGAAACGCTTACCCCGGCGCACACCAGGGGTCCCCGTTCGCGTCTGACACGGGGCGGAGCCGGTTAAGCTCTGGGAGCGTTCTCGAGCGGTCGATCAGCATCGTTTCGACGATCGCGCATTTTGTTACGGACGAGTACCCCCTGGAAAGGCTGCGGGCGCAGAGCGGGGGGGCGACCAGGAATGGGGACGAGGAGCAGGGCGGGTCGCCGCAAAATAACGAGGTTAGCGAAAATGGGATAGAGAGAGGGGTGCAAGGGGCGTCTCCCCAGGGCAGAGGAAGTGGGTTAGAGTCCCGGTTACCGCACAGCCGGGCGTATAATGAGACGAGAGGCCGGGAGAGGGGGAGCCCGTATGCGCAGGATGGGGGGAGGAGTGCACGGTCACAAAGAGGGGGTAAGTGCTTCCGGTTCAGCAGCTTGATGTTCTTGTCATCAAAGTCCTTATGCCACAAAGGATCCGTGGTCTCCGGCCAATGCAAATCTCGTGAGAGCCGTTTCGAGCAACGCCAAGGTTCTTCGCAATCTCTTCCAGACGTCTCGGGACGTAAGTTTACACGTAAGCTTACCCCATCGCTTCTCAAAAAAAAGACGAGAAATCATGCGGGCCTAACCGGCCTCTGGACAGCGGTCAAGCTAGTCGTAACTGCGTAAGCTGCTCCCCAAACCAAGAACGGCCACCTCATCGGCTGACGGACTTGAGCGGATCCTGGGAAACGGGGATAGATACATGATCAACGCTTTTTAGCTCATCTCTTGACTGAACCGCCATGGATTTTTCCCCCTGTGCCTCACCGCTTACTACGCGAACTCACAGATGCTTATCTCCAGACAATCCGATCCTTCTCGGTACTACTTATATCTTCACTTCGATTGCGTAGTTACATGGAAAGAACCCCCGGAGGCTTCAGCCCAACTCCGGCCACCTCCTCTTGACACCAAAATACACCGCTACACTCAAATTCAATCTTCGATTCGCAGGCGGCGTCATCTCGCCCCGGTCCCCCTTCGGCCCGCGCACCCCCGCAGTCCGCTGGCCGCGCTGTTCAGCCCGTGCGCGCTTTACTCTCTTTGACACCACATCACACTTCCATTCTGACATCCAGGCCCTCTTTTGCAGGCGGTGTCAATTCGCCCCGGTCGCCTTTTAGCCCGCGCACCCCGCGCAGTCCGTTGGCCGCGCTCTTCAGCCCGCGCGCGCCGATCTTCGACGAGAACGGGCGAGAGCTGTCGAAAGAGGAGGTCCGCGTGCTGAGCATCGAGGAGTGGCAGCGACAGATTGTGGAGCCTGACGGGACGCCCAAGGCCAGCAAGGTGAGGGTGTTTAGTCATATGATTAAAGTCCTCGAAAGCAGTATCTCCAGAGTTGTGGGCTTCTGTGTTGGAATTTTCCAGAAGGAGTCCCAAAAAGATCGTGCACTTTGAACTGCACGCCCAAATCCGCCAGATGAGGGTGTTTTAATAATTACTTTTTCAGAGAATGTAAGCTCGTACAAGATGTGTCGGTTCACAAACTCGGAGTTGAAGCAGAGTCTTAAACATTGGCGCACTCAATGGCAGCCCCCCTTTCTGCTTGTCGATGCATCCAATGCAAAGCATGCGAAAGCAAGATTTTCTAGACTCCAGATCTTTGAATCACGCAAAGCTTTCTACGCCCGCCACTCCGTTCGAAGAATCATTTACCGTCTCACCTTTGCATTCTCTAGCGATCGGGAAAGCTTTCCAATCCAGACGAGTTCCGTGACGCCAAAACCTTTCAAATCCTCACATCGTTCTAGAATCGCTCCACCAAACTCCTCCCAAACTTCCTCCGCGCCCCGCCTCCAACCCGCAGGTTCGCCTCTTCAACGCGCTCGAGCGCAAGAAGGCCGGCCCGCGCGCGTACGCGCGCCTCTCGGACCGCGTCGCCGACGAGCTATTCATAACCGGGCAGGCCATCTTCGACTGGTTCACGCCGCGCGCGCGCCGCCACTCGCGCTTCTTCACGTGGGCCTTCGCCTTCGTGTGCTTCGCCGTCTTCTTCTTCATGGCCGGGGAGTACCCCGCCTACCTGCAGAACGTGCGCTACGCGGGGCAGACCGAAAAGGCGGTAAGGTTCCGGGGACTGGAGTCCAAGGGTTTGGGTTGAGAAGTTTCGGGAATCAAAAATTTGGACATCCGGTGGTTTAGATGGGACTCAATGTTTGGTGGCTGCAGATACGCTTCCCCTGCAAGACGTGCGTTACGTAGGGCAGGACGAGAAGGCCGCGAGTGTTTCGGACGTTGTTGTGGGGGGTTTGAGCTTTAAAAGTTTTTGAGATTTGCATATTTCGACGCTTGTGAGTCGACGGAAGCTTAAGTGGGTTGTGCGCTTTTATTGTAGGTATTGAACGCCCTACGAAGTAAAGGAGTGTTTTTGTCGGAACTTTCGTTGCGTTGGAGTTTGAAGGAACCCGGCGTCTTTTCAAGATCCCAGCTTCTTTGCGAAATCTGCGCGATGCGAGGCCAGAGACGACAGAGAGCACGCGTTTCCTCGTTTGGATGGGGGCAGAAGGAGTTGCTTTCTGAGAACCTCTGCTTGGCATTTCTCTAGCTTTCGAGCGCTGCCTACCCACTCTCTTCCGACAAATTCTAATCAATCAATCCGCTTCGTTTCACAAGCATCTGTTCCGTCCAATCAAGGACTCCTCTCCGTCTTCATCCCCAGTCGCCTTCCGCTCCGCTCATGCGGCATTCCGTTCCGGTTCCGCAGGTCCAGGTGGGCAAATTGGAGCTCAACGTGGGCCCCAGCGAGCTGACGGCCGTCGTGTTCCGGCAAGAATCGTGGCGCATGTTCGACTTCGGCTTCCTGCGCATCTGGGGCGGCCGGTACGCACCGGCCATCAAGCGGCAGCACCAGTGGTCCCGCTGGTTCACCTCCATCTTCGTGCACGAGAGCTTCAACCACGTCACCTCCAACATGCTGCTCTGGCTCGTGCTGGGCCTCTACCTGGTGAGGGTTTGGGGAGGGTTGTCGAGAGTCTGACCTGAGGTTTGGGTTGAGCTACGGACTTCAAGGCTCGAAACACCTGTCAAAAGGTCGGCTTTCTGACTTCACCTTTAACGTGCTGTCCTGGGTCTCCTCGAGCTCTACCTGGTAAGAATTGAGGGGTTTGAGTTCGTAACAATTGACTTTCTCTTTTCAAACCCATCTGGACGTGAAAGAAACCGTTCTTTTCATTCTTAACATGCTGCGCTCGTTCATCTTCGACCACTTCCTGGCAAGACCCGCTTACACTGCAATGACGCAAAAAGATCAAAAGCGACTGTCTAAGTGCCTACGGACCGCTAGCATCTGAAGGATTCCAACTCGTTCAATCTACTTTTGAGAAACGCTAGGCCTTCATCGCCCCTTCTGACTTACCGCCCCCACCACGTGCAGGAGCGCAAGTACGCCACGTGGCGCATCGCGCTGCTGTGGCTGCTGTCGGGGCTGGGCGGCAACTTCTTCAGCGCGCTCTTCGAGGACAAGTGCACGCTCGTCGTGGGCGCCAGCGGGGCCGTCTTCGGCATGGTCGGACTGTTCGTCGGCGACTTCATGCTCAACTTTGAGACCATCAGAAGGTAGGTTGTTTGCAGTTTTATACTGTTTCGAAAAGTACGTTGTAAGGATGTCTAGCATTCGCAAAGCGGTTCGCATTTGTGCTTGGAGTGGTCGGACTGTTCGTCGGCGACTTCATGCCCGACTTCGAAAACCATCCGACGGTGCGTTCTCGTCGATTTCTTACTGCAAATTTGTTGACAACATTACCATTGCCGTCGAGAAATCTCTGCGCGAGTTTGCCACGTATCTCGGGGGTGACAGAATCTCACGCGTCCTGCTCTGAGATCTCAGATACTTTTCCTTCACGAGCACACACTTTCGGGGGTAGGGACTACATGCACCGGCAGCAGATCTGAGCGGATGGTCTCGTTCTGAACGGCTTGCCTAGTGCTGTGCCAATTCTTACGTGGATCGCTTTTCATTTCTAACTTTTTCCATCAATGTCTCATATAGCTCCAAAACTAAGCGGACCCCTCCTGCTGCTGCTCCGCGTCGCTACCTCTTTGCTCTACTTCCTTGATAAAGAATGCCAGAAAATCATTATCACCTTACCTTACGATCACACTCGCACTGCATATGCCCTTTACGTATGCTTGACACGAACTCTCATGCCCTCATACCTACGCAGGCACGTCCTCCGGCTGCTCTTTCTCGCCATCTGCCTGCTCTTCTCCGTCATCACCGTCGCAAGCAGACCTTGCGTTGAATCAACTTAGCATAGCAAGTGGTGTTGAAGAGTGAATCAAAGCGTATGACCACTTTCCAATCTCGTATGTCCTTATACGTATGCAGGCCCGTCCTGCGGCTGCTCTCGTTTGCCATCTTCCTGCTGTACTTCGTGATCACCGTCGCAACCGCCGGCAGCACGTCGCACTTCAGCCACGTGGGCGGGTTTCTGGCGGGGCTGTTCCCGGCCTTCCTCTACCTGCCCAACTTCAAGCACGACTGGTGGGAGGTGAGGGGCTGACAATCTGCAAACCGGTTGTTTCTCATGAGGGGGGATTGCAAGAGCTTGCAAGACGATTGTTTCCTAGACTCGGGCCCACAAGGGCTCCATCTGGTAGCGAGATTACCGCGTTAAGAGTGGAGCAGAATAGTAAATCTCGCGTACTTCGGAACTATCGATTAAGTCTCACCGGCTTATATGTCCGGAATAAGCGAAGATGCCAGGTTGCAGATCACCCCCCAATCAATGTTCGGACCTATGCCCGCATCGGGCAGTTCGCTACTTCAGACTTCGCTACACAATCCAAGAATCCAACTTCGCTGCGCCCGTATTCACACCCGCCCCCATTCCAACAGGCGGCCCTGCCCCCCGCCGGCCTGCTGGCCATGGCCTTCTTCTTCGTGGTGTGTCCAGCCGTCGTTTACAACATCACTTTCGCAAACCTGCCGTGCTCATAGCGTATGAGCCGTTCCAAAGAATTTCCAGGAGGCCTATACGGTTGCCTGATCGAGGCTAGCGTGTTGGGCGCGCGCTGGTAAAAAGGGTGTTACAGATGACGTCAGACATACGGCCGCTGGCAACAGTCACTTTGAGGGTGAGGTTGTGAGTGCATTCTTTACAGTTCAGGATAGAACATCGTAATAGAGTCTGGCGAGCGCTTTCCTCAGAGGGAGAGTCTGAGCGAGCGGTTCGAAAGTGCTCTTGCAATGGTAAGACCGATGACCTGGCGCCTGTAGGTCCACCAATTGACCAATCATTCAGAGGTGAACGGACAAATCAAAGAAAAGGTAATAATGGGCAGCGTGTGAGAACTTTCGACGGTGTAGGGTTCTTGGGAACGACGAGATTGGAAAGCAAGTGAAAGACGCAGGACGAAAAGCGTATCAGATGGCAAGCTGCGGTTCTCAATAAACAAGAGCCCTGTGTAACATAAAACCCTGAATTTTTTCTAGAACAGCTGGTCAACGAGTCTTGAGAAGAACGTGAGGAGTTTGATCAATGCGCCAGATCATTCACTTAGACCCGTGGATTGAGAGAAGTTGGGTGAAGGATGGGCTCTTGAACGGTCCGGGGTGTTCTTGAGACAGACTTCTTTGCAACCTTCTTACAAGACGGGGAGGATGATTCCATACTGTCCGTGCATTTTTCTCTAAACTGCATATGATTGAGGGCTTCGCCCCGGTCAGATGGATTTCGAGGTTTGAGTGAGCAAGTTATAAAAGGCACTTCGAGTTCGCCGCGAGTTGACAGCTTGCGTGGCTGGATAGAACCATACCACAGATATTACCATATGGTTACCCTCCTACTAATTGGACCAGCAGACCGTGACATCCCCCAAAATCTGCATTCACTTGCGTCTAATACACTTGCTTGATGCAAAGAAGCGTAGGATCACGTATTGTCTGGTGGGCTTACACCTCGAGCTTGAAGCCTCACGTGAAATGCATGCGGCCAGTAGTATATTGCGAGGTCGCAGACTTGCAATGTACTGTACGCGGGAATAACCAAAGGTGAAGCTAACTCAGATACGCAGCAAATTGGGATGGTCTCGAAGGAACCACGTACCGCATTATAGATGGTACCTACCACTGTAGTGCCGCCTGGTGGCAGCCTGTGCACTGAGCTTTGTCCTTCACTTGCAGACTATTTTGCTTACTGTTTTAAGCAGACCGTTTTGCAGACTTCGAGCCTTCCGATTGCCCCAATCGACTATCGGACGGTTCACTTCTTTCATTGTGTTTGTGTCGTCGATGGCGCCTTTCAATCGACGGTGTCAGAGCCTCCTACCTTGAAAAGCTACATAAGAAGCTAATAGCTCTAGCTAGATCACTCTAGATCAGCAGGAATTGGACAAAACCTTATGAATTTTGAAGGATCAGCTCCACAGCTCAGCTGCACAGGACGGCCACATCGCGCAGTTGGTTTTGCATGACCGCCTCACCAGGGCCCTCGCTCTTCCTCCTGATTTGGGCGCCAATAGCTGCAGCAATTGACAACAATGGCGCCCGCTGCCAAGATTGCTCCGTCCATGCTCTCGTGCGACTTTGCATGCCTGGCATCAGAGGCGGAGAGAATGGAGAAGGCGGGGGCGGACTGGCTGCACATGGACGTGATGGTGAGTAGCAATTGTCCCAGACCGTATGACAGAAAGTGGATTGATTGCCCTCCATGAATAGTGTGGTTTGAATTGTGCGAGCAGTGTCAATTGGGAGTTCCAGCGTATGTGTGGAGTGGTTAGCTTGGGGAATCAAGGGGCAGTATTACTTTGCAGGCTAGATTGCTCTATGACCACAGATTGTGGTGTGGTTGCTGTATGACTATCTACTGTTGGACTTCTTATCAGGGCAGGATTGAGAACGGGCTTGAATCAACAGCATTCCCTGTTGTATGCGGGTTCTGCAGCACCTCAATTTAGTGCTAAACGTTGCACATAAAGTTTACACAGGTTCTAACATAAGTCGAAGATGATTGCAAGCAATGCGTAACTAGTCTGTGTCTTGGCTCACAGTTGTGCGGAGCAATATGAGCGCAGCAGAATATGAGCGCAGCAGAATTGAGGCATTCCTCTTTGCAGGATGGTCACTTTGTCCCCAACCTAACCATAGGCGCTCCAGTGATTGAGTCCTTGAGAAAGCATTCAAGGTGTGGTTTCTTACCACCCCCACAGATCCTCTGATCTTTCCAAAGCTCTTCTGAAGTTTCATTATTATCTCTGAGGAGGCAGCCTTTCTGAATGTGAATCCCTGGAGTGAACAGGTGGCAAACTATGTACCATTCCTGCAATGCAGGACACCAGCAGAACCGCCTCCCGTGCCTATAGTTTTGTAAATCCTTTTCAAGAATCATTTGCAACAGCGAAGCCAAGCCCTCCTGCCTGTTGTTGTACTGATTGCCTTTCCAGCTTATGTACACTATGTACTATGCCACAGAAGTAATGGCGGATAACCCATGGTTGTTTACGGGCCCGTTTGAAGCTCGTCATATGTCCAACAATCGGACTTCGAGCAGTGACCAGACTTTCTAACATGGTTAAGGCAGCCCGGTTGTTGGTCAAAGAATTGGACAGAAGTCTGGTCATCCAGCCTGGTCAACAGCCAAACCGTTGTCATGAACTTGTTTTTTGTTGCAGCGCTTTTCTCGACTGCCACATGATGGTTAGCAACCCCGCTGACTACGTGGCGCCCTTCAAAAAGGCCGGCGCATCCCAATTCTGTTTCCACCTCGAAACAGCCAGAGGTGAGGTGTTGTGATTGCCCGTGAGATGAAATGAATAAAAGCCCCTCACAAGATGTTGTGTCGCTGTCAACATCGATCTTCTGTGCAGCGCCTCTCTTGCAAACCTATCGAGCTTTTTATTATATGTAAATATACTTACATATGTAATGAGGTGGTGTAACAAATGTAGAAGATGAGGGACCCCGTCTATGTTTCTGTGTCAGGAGCATAATTTGCAAAAATATGATGGCGTTTCCCTCTTACGAACCTAGTTACTTTCGCTTGCCTCTCAGACACGTGGCCTGAGCTTCTCCGGACCGTGAAGGACGCGGGCATGCGGGTCGCAGTCGCCATCAAGCCAGGCACACCCGTCGAAGACGTTTTCCCCCTGGTCAGTGCTATCTCTTTCTCTTTACTTCATGACGACGTTCCGAACTTCTAATTCGATGATACTGACCCCTCAGAAGGGCAGCATTCTGATAGCTGCTCCCAAACCCTTCATGTTTTGCATGTGGAGGTTGTCGCAACGCCTTTACGAGCTCATCCGGTTGTTCTGCTCGGCCGGTTGGGATTTTCACAAGGCGAAAACTGACTTCCGAGCGTTTTTTGAGAGCTGGTGCTCTTCGCTGCGCCAGACTCCCACTCGACGCTCAGACAGTCAAGTATCTGCATTCTCGACTCTGCCAATGCCTTCTCTACCCTTCTTGGAGGCAGCGTCGAGTCAGAAACGTCGTTCGGCCGACTCAGAGGCCAAATCCTTCGTTTCCGAGCGCCATACATCTACCAGAGTCTCTATCCGGTTCTCTTTCTCTGTCCGGACTGTGAATTGTGATGAAACCTTTTGTTGCGTCAAAGAACCAATCAAAGCTTACATTGGCTACTGACTCGTCGTTTCCTCCACTCGCCCTTGGCTTGCCATCCCACTTTCGCGTTCCGTCTCTGTCCTTGGAAACCCAACGGCCTTGTAAGCGCATTGACAGCGCCTAGAGACTTAAGGACTTGCCAAACCTCACGGACCCTGTAAACACTCCCGTATCACGATTTAGCCAGTGCTGATTGTGAGCACAACCTTGACCACGATCAAAGTTCGAGAGAACACAATTGAAGCTAACAACAATCTTAACCCATTCGGTTTGCGCAGGTTGAGCACGACCCTCCTGTCGACATGGTCCTGGTCATGACAGTGGAGCCCGGTTTCGGAGGCCAGAAATTCATGCCGGAGATGATGCCAAAGGTGACGTCATGCTTCGCCCCCTCTTTCTAGTGTTCCCTGCTCCTTCATCAAGGCCATATCCAGACGAACTGTCAGCCTGCTTCGGTAGCCAGTTGATCAAATTCGCCCTTCAAGCGTCACTGTCAGATGAAGAGTCACTCCCTCTGACGCGTCCACGTTTAGATTTTCAAAACGGTTCATGTTGCCGATCACGCCAGAAGTGACTGTGTCTCTTGCAAGAAGCAGATCTCAACGTCTCGTCCATTGCTTTGACCTTCTGTGAGCTTCCAAACCTGGTCTGCGCCAGTTCGCGTCTTTTCACGTCCAACGGCGTTCATGGCACGCACGTTTTCCATGTTGCTTCGTTTACTAGCCTCATCGTAATCTTTTGCTCCTGCAGGTGGAAGTGTTGCGGAAAAAGTACCCAGAACTCGACATCGAGGTGAGTAAGCTCACAGCGAGACTGTTTGGTCCCCAACACTGGCTCACCTTGTCAGGCTTCTGGATACCTTTTCTATCTCGCGTTTCAGGCCGTCGCTCCGTGTCCCCATCCTTAGTCGCTGACTACTGCCGCCTGGCCGTTCGAAGGTTGCTGTTGAGATGCTCCGAAAGACTCGCCTTGAAAATCTTGTTGTGGAATTTGTGCTTCTAGGCTACCAGCGCAGCCAGGCTCGGTTGATTTGCTGAATAGACGTCCCCACGGTTGCACGAAAGGCCTTGAAATTCCTTGCAAAGGGGCTCATGATCCGTGCAGTCACTACTACTTCGTGTCAAGCTGGATTGCCCTGCGTAACATCTGAGAGGCTTGGAGCCTCAAAGATTACAGCGGCTCTCTACTTCTGAAGGCTTTGCCGATCTATGACTAGTTAGTTCTGTCCTTCCTTACTGGAGAACTATGCTGTCGAGCTTGATGTTTGCCGCTCACTTTATGAAGGTTGACGGAGGGCTCGGGCCGAGCACCATCGACACCGCGTCCTGTGCCGGGGCCAACTGTATTGTTGCTGGCAGCTCTGTGTTTGGATCATCGGATCCTCCTGCAACCATTGCGGCTCTTAGGAAATCCGTTGTTGGGGCGGCCAACAAGATTTAGAGAAGACAACATACCTGCCTTACGACTGATTGAACGTGTACATAATTCCTCTTAGAAACAAGTGTCTAGCGGAAATTGTACCTTTATGCCAGCTGCTGCTTGATACGGGACGGTCGCTCCATTGAACCGCAATAACACAAGACCAGGAATATCCGACAGAAAGCTCTCGAAGATTTCAAATCAGGTCGGTGTCACTATTCAGCGTAAGGCTGCAGCTGGCTCGTTTTTATGATGCGACTATCTTTCACTGCAGACGTCTTTCAACGGTGTGTCCGTCCAGCTACGATCTCTCGGACTCATTCTACGAATGCAAGTTTTATGTACAGCCTTCGACCGACCAAACGTCATCTCAAATCAAGGACAATCGCCAGATTGCATACATGGACCTGGTTCGACTAACTGAGCTTCCAGCCTGAACGTTGATCGTCTTATATAGCATGGAAGAGTGCATGGCACCACGAGCTGCAGCAGTCACTGCCAGTTAGGCTATATGTAATTCTGCCTACATGGCTCGCGGCCGCTTTAATTGCTAGGATGATCTGGATGATGCAGCCACGCAGCGCCACGGCATGCCGAGCGCGTTGCACAAGCAACCTATGGTGGGTATCGGCGGTCTCGATCGCGCGACGATCCGGTCACAAATTTGAATCACCGGTGTGTCGCGTCGCGACAATTACTGTACGCGGTACTGACGACCGTGCAGACCGGTACTTGAGAATCCGGTCCGAGTTCATAAATTAGAATCTGTCTGACATTCCGATCGTCAGAAACTTCCGGAGTTTCCGGCGGTACGGTACCGATCAAGTCTGACCGTACGTGAAATTTGAAAATCATGGTTTCGATCGGAAGTTCCGACTCGAACCACCCTAGAGTACCGCGGTACCTAACTTGAAAGGAGAGTGCAGAAGATGGAAACGGGAGTGTAGGGAATGGCGCTTTTTAGAAGCAAGCAATGGCGGCCAATTTGCAGCCACGATGGTGCTTCTTCCGATTTGTCCTCAACATAACAAGATGTTGGAGCTTCGAAGGAGCCTTCATGACGCTCTCCCAACATTTTTTTCTGCTTGTCAGAGGTTTTTATAAGCCTGCATATGGCTCTTCTTTGCGTGCCAATTTGATGCTCCTCTCAAAGTGTAAAACCTGACACTGTTTAAGAATCTCCTCACACTTACTTACGGCCCGGCAAAATTCTCTGAGTATTTGTACCGCCCGAGTAACATAAACCTGAGTAGCCGTGACGCGAACCGCCGGTAACACTGACGATATTCGATACGCGCTAAATCGATTTTGTGGCGGCCGGAGTCGGAATCGACTCGGCCGGTACCCACCATAGGTAGCTTGTGTGTAACCATGAGCTGGCACGTACTAATCATACAGCCGTCCATGATGGAGTGAATTGCGCATGTGCAAAGCTATGTCAGAAGACGATAAGACAACCGACACAGACTCGAAAGGCCGTGCTTTTGGCATCTTGGCAATTTCAATAATTGTCATTCACTGACGCAATAGTGGCAGTCGTTGAGCACCCAACGGTCAGTAATCTGCCATTCAAGTTGCTGGCGGAATAGAAATTCAAGATTGGTTTATTACATCAAAGGCCTTCTAGCAAAATACCACAGCGACGCCGGCAAACTGGCAAACCATACAAGGTTGACAGAGGCCTGATTATGCAAGGGATGCAATGTACGGGTGTTGTACGCAAATAGTAGATAATTGACACACTGATTAGCTATATACTGCATAGGCCGACTGATTGAACTCAAGTCGAATTTGAGGAACTTCGCTGAACTGCAACTTGCATAGCAATTTGGCTTGGCACTCGGAATACTCATGGTTCAAAGGTGCACAGCAGATGAATTGCAGACGTCAGAGCACTCCCGGCTTTGTCATTGACGCACAGAACTCATTGGGTCGACTGCTCACTGCTCAGTGTCTCAGTGCTCAGTGCTCACTGCTCACGGATGAGGTGCCCAGCTGGCGGCTTCTGAGCCGTCAGGTGCGACTAATGGATGATTGGTTAGCACGTGAACCATGTCGGATGATGACGTCAGCGAAAGGGTCCACTTTGCACAGTCACGCTTTCGGACGCTGCAGCAAAAGCGGACAGCTCAGGCTAGCCGTCCGAGCCGTCCGCAAAGCCTCAGGCAATACGGTAGTAGAGCACAGCTTCTTTCCATAGACTGGCATCAAGGGGCGAGAGGGGACAAGAATGGCTACCGCATCTGCAAGGGGTGTTGTACCGCTGTTTAATTGACGAGGCAGCCGAGTGACCAACGGAGAAATCGAGGGAAGGGCTGAGTGGAAGATGTGGTTGGGCTTTGCCTGAGGTTGCATTCTGTTCCCTTGGATTCCTCGTGCTCTGTTCCGCGTTTGTTCAGAGCTGACTCGGGAAGAAACAAGAGGGTGTGCTGGGTGGGATTCTGGGGAGTGCCATCAGCTTCCTTAGCAGCTGGGCAAGTCGCAAGGACCCCTGCTTTCAACAGTATGTTGAATGAGCAATCGCAAGCAGTCGGGTGTAGCAGATTGACCTGGAATTGTTCCATATATTTTCTCAAGTAGCTGTGCTCTAATCATACTGGCCTCACTTGGTCCTTTGGGTGGGGCAGACTGTTGCATGGTGCAGGCAGAGGCTTCATTGCTCCTAGCAGCGTAGCTGTTGGGAAAGAAGACGTCCCAGTCATTGTCCTAGTCATCATCCTAGTCATCAAGAACGTTTGAAGCAATAGCTGGGCAAAGTGTTGGTTGCAATTTCGTTAAACATGAGCGAGGCCCTGTCGGTTCTGCCGCACAGGCATGACAGTCCCATCCCCAAAGTGCTCGGGCAGTCTGGCTGATTGCTCGTCTGCTCGCTTGAATCCTTCTCGTAAGCCGCAGTCAAGTTGCAGGGTCGCACCCTCTCATGGCGGAGATTGAGGAAGCTGAGATTGAGGCAGAACCAGCGGCAGGGCCGTCTGCACACTGGGAACATGATCATGCTGCAACCAGCGGCGAGGGCCGGAGACTCTGTCCCGTGTGTACGTTTCTCAACGACGAGGAGGGCGATTCCATGCAGTGTGGGATGTGCCACAACTCTTTTTGTGAAGATCTCTGGGCTAGTGCGAGTGCTGCGGACCTCCAACGATCGTCGGACAGTGGAAGCAATGAAAGGAACTGGAGTCTCAGCAGTTATATACCTGGTAGGGCCCGCCACCTGATCTCTGCAGCGTCCTTGGTAAAGAGAGCGACGACAATGTCATTGAGCCCTAGTGATTGTCTGCTTCAAAGTGCCTGGTGCTGTGGTTGGTGACACAGCTTTGGGAACATGATAGGTTTCTGCTTCATGTCACAGGTGTGCAGCTTGAGGCAACCACGTCACGTATTGCTTTCTTGATATTCTTCTTTTTGGTCAAGACTTGTGGCTTGGTTGCAAAAGCCTGCAGCCCTCGCAGCATCTAAACCCTGATCATCATCTTCACGCTTTTGCCTATGCTTTCATTCACAGCTCACCTTTACTTTGATCACATGACTGGTTTTGGATGTGTCTGGTACTCTCTCTCGGTTATCAATCTTCTCAACTGCAATCCTATTTACAAGCCGAGATCTGCCGGTGCACGAGGAAAATTTCTCATTTCTGGTTTCCTGGGCCAGCATTGCCCCCTTGGACTGGTCGGAGCGAACCGGCGGTTCTTGGGTCATCCTTGCATTGCTTACTATTTTTGAGATACTAATGCTGTGATGAGGTTCTTACAATAGTGTTCTTTGGTGTTCTTTGGAAGATCTCCTTGATGACTTGTCGTGATGCTGAGTCTATCTATTGTTGGGCTTCTGTCAAGCCCCAGAAAGAACCAAAAGCTTTCAAGGAGCTGCTTTAAGCCCAAGGCTGTTTGGTTGAGTTCTCTGGTGTCCATATTACGTCATTCTCCAAGAACTCCTTTGTAATGCAACTCGATACAGCGTTCTTTATTGAGCAAGGGATGAATCAAAATGAGTTGCTACGGTTTTTCCGCTCCTTCGCAAGTGACTGATCAGCGCAGCTCGTCAGAGTCTGTTAAGGGGGCAAGTGTCTCCTTGCGTGCTGTGCTCATCAAGCTCTCAGCTTGCAGAGGATTTCTCTCTTGAAAGGTCTTCAGATATGAAGTCTTGTGACACAAGCTCAAGCTCCAGTCACCCTCAAGGTACTTCTTATGATTTTCTGCTTGTGTGAAGTGGTGAAGCTCTAGTTGCCGACAGAGTTTGGTCTGCATACTTTCAAGTTTTGGACACTGAGAGCCTTCTCCCAACCTTTGCATCCTGACTCCTTCAAACAAAGTGAAACAGTAGTGGGTTGCTTTTGTACCTTTTTCGCACGTGGTCAACCGTGGTGCTTGTGGAGACCTCACCGAGCTCACCAGGCACCAGGCTGCTCTTTATGGCCATCTTGTACTTTGTACAACCTCCAGTACCATCCATTGTTGACCCTTTGGGGCAAGTCTGGCGGCAAGCCTTAAGTTGTACCATGTTCGTCACCAGAACCAACACTCATGGACACCCTCACTGCGCCTCCCTTGCAGGACTTGCGCAAGGCCAGAGCCTGATCAATGGAGCGGTGTCTGGGGCCCTCACGGGCATGTTTGCATTCGTGGGGGCGTGCACCGGGGCGGTTGCTGGGGCACTGGCGGGGAGAGCGACCGACAGCGGTGTCCTTCGGGGGGCGGGGCTGGGCCTCATAGCGGGGGCGGTGGTCAGCGTAGAGGCGCTAGAGAGGGCCCGGGAGATGTGGAAGTCGGCGCTGGAACGACTGGGGGTCTCGATGTCAGCGGGAAACGTGCCCCCTGCAACGGTGAGAGTGTACTAGTTATCTGCTTGGGGTCCGAGGTGTCAGTGCATACAGCACAGGGGAATATATTGTGGGAACGATCGAGGCTCATCAGGTATCTGGTATAGCATTCATGCGAATAGCGTTGCTTTGCTGCTTTGTGGAACCAATCAACTTTCTGTTTTAGCACGTGTCATGTTTAAGATACAACCCTGGTCTATTGAGACTCCCATCGGTGTCGCAGAGAGCATCAGCAAAGGGCACTTGGTGCTGAATCTTCAGAGCAGGCACCATCTTTTGTACCAGAGTTTTTGATTTAAAACTCTGACTGCATGGGCTGACATCAACCACCGTTTGCAGATTGAGTATATCGAGGACCTGCTACAAGACCGCTTTGGACGGGGCATCTCTTTGCGAGGGAATCGATGGCAGGTGAGTGGAGGCGATCGCGGTGGCTGATGGGATCGAGATTCACCCTGGCATGAACACAATTTGTGCCGACAGGAGAATTCTATCCCGTTAGCCTGGCCTCTGCATTTGCCAAGAGTTTTGGGCTGCTGTGGTTTGCAGAATGGCTGGACCTCTGCGGGCTCTTGCAAAACTAAAGCAGAAATATGGTGACTCAAACAACGTATACCTCAGAATTGGTGCCTTGGGCCTTATTGACCAAGCCTGTCACTGGAGATTTTGGACCTCAGAATGTGCCTTTGTAAGTCCTCAGCTTATCAGTCATCTGACGTCCTGGACAAGTCGTCACTATTCGGTTAGGCGCTCAGACTCTGAGATGCCGCAGAATGATCGAATTGGGGAACTCCAAGCAGCAATCTATGTCCGACTGGTGGGTATCCCGTTTTAGCTTCACCAGTCCTTCACGAGACAAGGGTGCTTATTCAGCAGCTACTCACTTCTGGTTGTGGAATAGTTGTTTGATCGTGGGTGTCAAGATTGACAAGCATCAGTCAAGTATGCAATCTCCCCGATCGTTCCTTCCATTGCTGTGCTGATCCTCTTCATTCTCGATACAACTCCGTCGATCCAACTCGTCAAACTGCCTTTCCGTGTTCAGGTCGAAGTGGACGACATGAGCTACGAGGAGCTGTACGAATTCTTTGGCCCGGGCCGCGTGACGTACGGAGCGTCGCCTGCGGCGATTGCCAGCCTGCCCCTGCACACCATCGGCGAGCGGGATCGGCGAGACAGCGTTGGGAACCCAATTGGCTGCCCAATCTGTTTACAGGTCAGCATTTGAAGTGGACCCTGTGACTGAGTTGTCATTTGTAGAGAGAAGGGATTGAGCGTTTGTTGTTCATGTTCGTGCTCGTAATGAGAAAAGAAATTGCTTGCATCGATTTGGCTCTTCGAGATCCAGCTGTTCGACCCCGTGGAAGCCTCTGCTGTATTTTGGACCTCGCTCTCCCCTTCCTCTCGGTTTTAATCACTTTTTGAGACGTCAGCCCTCTTTGACCCTGGTGAAGACACTGAGTCTGTTGGTTCGATGTGCGACTAAGAAAAGGACGGAGTCTAGTAAACGGAAAACATTCATTTCCATCGGGCGGATGAACGCTTCTGGCTATTCCGCTCTCTTGCTGTTTGCAAGTCCCTGCTTCGGTTCGCTCACAGAGCTGTCGCTTTTGTAGCAAGGTTCGCGTCATGTTCAGGGCATCATTGATGCAAGTTGACCAAAAAGAACCTGCGAGCTTGGGCGAGATACTTGCCGAAGTCCCACACGCTGATCCTCGTGCATCTATTACACACTGCAGGAGCTGTGCGCTGGCGACCGGGCCCGCTCCTTGCCATTCTGCCGCCACACTTTCCACCAACCCTGTGTGGACACGTGGCTTTCCCAACACGGAATCTGTCCTGTGTGCCGGCACGACATACGAGAGTCCTTCTCAAGATAACAAGCGGCCCAGACCCCTGGTTCTTCATTATGCACAGCTACATAAACATGCGCTGAACGTGCATCCGGGTGCAGTGTGTCGAGCTGCCCCGCTCTGTAAAGCTAGCTGATACGTCTCGGAATTGTACGGTAAAGCGAGTGACTAGAATTTTTTGGGGTCCTGGTCGGTAAGCTTGGCGGGCATACAGAAACGTGGTTCTTCATTCTATAGATGGCTCAAGAGTTCGAGAGCGTGGCCCTGAAGTGGAGGCAGAGTAGATTTTACCCACTCGATCACCGCTCATTCGTCGAAATGTACACAAGTTAGCCCTCCTATATGTAGCTTGAAAGATCTACATGCAGTCGCACGCTTAAAGTCATGATCAAGGAGGATGAAAGGTTGTGAAAGACTTGTAGTCCTGGGGCACTTAGGTGTCAAGTATTGGTCCCGTGAACCATATTGACGCTGACAATGAGATGTCTGGGAACTAAGTAGCAATATTCATTAATGTCTGCTGGAGCTTGATTTGCTGAAGGTCGATCAACGAAGTCGATTGTCCACATGCATACCGCAACGATTCAATCTGTTAGACATTATGCACACATGCGTGGTACTCCTTATAATTTGGCAATGTGCTCATCCATATATAGGTGTCACGCGGTACCGTCCATATACAATACGTTCTTGTCATGCACATGTGGCAGGCTGAGTCTGGCGGCCGCACATGTGGGATCCAATGATCCAGTACCAACGCGTATGCGTGTCAAATTCTTAAATCCATATATTACGAACTGCTAGACGGTCACTCACATGTGTGTTTGAAAGGATCGCGCCATGCAGCCGGATCAACCAATCCATATGTATATCATGTGACATCAGTGCACATGGTACATACTACTACTACTAGGGCATCGTGTCAGAACATATGGGCAAGGGCGTTCGCGGAACTCCGAAAATTGGCCCTCGTTGGGGGGGGGCTAGTGGCCGGTGGGGCCAACATCTAGGGGCAAATTTACCCCTAGGTAAAACCGGGCATCGAGAGGGGAGGGGGGGGCTGGTGGCCGGTTTTATTTTCGGAGTTCCGGACGCCCCTGCACTGACATGTTTTGACACGATGCCTAGTACTGGTATGTAACATGTACGCGCACACACAGTGACATGATCTAGTGAAAAAATGTAGTGATGATCTGATCGGTTTAAGTACGTTTTACATACATGTCATGAATACATTTAGACAAGTGGCGCGGCATATCGAAATTGCGGCATGTACAACGATTGGCGTGGGCCTTCTTGGCACTATAACGATGCTCCTCTCCGCCGAAGATTGAATCACACCCTACTTTGTATACATGACGTATGGCCTTGTCGCAATCAAGAATGCACGCGTATGCATATGAACATGTTTGGCCTTATAGCTGGTGGACTTCAAGCTGATGGTTGATCTGGTTTTAAATCTGGTTTATGTATTATATGCCTCCGAGAAAAGGTTTGATCTTTGTGCAATGCAGTCAGGGATGCTCGGATCTGCTTTGGTTGACCAAATAAACCGACAGTCATTATGAGAACCAGTAACCATGTTTGAGTGGACTTGACCGACCGACCATGGATGTTAGAGCCTCTTTGCTGAGCAATTGCAACATGTACGCCTTACACAAGGTCGCAACTGTGATCACACGTGGTGCTTTGAAAATATTAAGATTCAAACTCCCACCGAAGTGGGGCTGACTGCAGTGCGACCATCCAGGTCACACTAGTCACTTGAGGAAGATGTTTGATGCTCAGATTTGAGCCCGGGCAGGGCGCTCTAATAATTATAGAGAGCTAGATTCACCAGGTCGCGTCAGCTTCCAATGCGTTGTGAGACTGTCAGATCTCCAATTAAAATCTCACTCAACCTTACAAGGCAGTGTTTAAGTGTGTTCCAGATATCAGTGCACCCAATGTGGAAGAACGCCAAGCCTCGCAGCCGGACAGGAGACAACCAGTGACTTCATCGCTTGAAAAAAAGAGAAGAAAGAAGTGTCTCATCGCTTTACAGAAGCTTCCTTCTCGTTTGGAATCAAACCCATCAACCTGCCTGTTGATGATTGGTATGCAAGGCAGAAACCCCCGAACAAACCAATCATCCCAGCAACGTACATAGAAGGACCAGCTATTCTGGCTCCCGGAGTGTTGCCTGCACGATCGAAAGCAAGCAGTTCAGCCAACACGGGCATCTCAACCTTCATGCTTAAAGCTAGCTCCATATGTCTAAGGGGTTACAAACCAGCGCCTCCCAAACGTCCACTCTCTTTGCATCCAATCATTCCATTATGGTGACCGCAATCCACGGAATACTTGTTTGCGGACTGAACTTGGAAACGAGACTTTGAGATAATTTGCTGTTATGCCAGGAAAGCTAAATGATAGCGCAAGTGCTGGCTCCACCAACACACCTGATCTTCAGGAACATTCATCTACTATGCAGATATTCAAACCCCTCGGTCATTGACAACCGGCCATCAGAAACCTGCATGACATTGACAAGAACAGCAGTGGAACAAGTCTCGGCAGATTAGCATCTTACCTGCTGCATAACCAAAAGGGAGGGAGATGGCCGTCAGACCTGTCATCTTCAAATAGTCATTAACATCAAAGTTGCCGACAGCTTTCCAGAACCCCGGTGCAGGATCAGCAACCGGGTATGAGGCTGGAATTGCCATCTCGACTTAAGACAGGGCAGGTCTGATGTATTCTTCTAATTTCTTTAACGTTGCAGCCAAAACCTGAGCAGCCTACCGGCGCCTATCTTGAGCACATGTTCCGACCCCAGCTGCTGTTGCAACAGGTTTAGATTGGGACAATCGACCCTAGTCGCAGAGCTGCTCAGTACGATTTCCCCACCGCCACTAACAATACGCCTTGCATTCGAGCGCCTTCACTTTCTGAGTTTCCGCTTTCGAAACTTTTCTCTGATCGAGTTGAAGGGCAGATTCTCTGACGCCATGGCCCATGCAGCTTCAAGCTACCGGTACCTTAAACGAGGAACTAGAACGAGATGCGTCTGCAGTTGTGGCCAAATCATGAACAACTGCCCCGGACCCCGGACCCAGTCGAAACATGCCACCTGGCCGCTAATCTTCACTGATCGGACTCAGTCGGACTCACCGTCCCGGTACATATCCTACCCGGTAATAGTATATGGCAACTAGACTTGGAACGCCGGACCCTGCCCATGTGTGGCTGTGGGCCTGTGGCCTAGGTGATGGCTACCTTGTGATGGCTACCAGGCGGCACACACTGACATTTCAGGTGAACAAAACTGAGACCTGCACTGGCAGCAGGGGCGCAGGGTGCTTTTGGCGGTGCGTAGGATTGTACAAGCGCAGCATGCAGCTGCGTTGAACATACAAGAATGTAATCATCTTAAAAGGCAGGACTGCTCAATTGGGGATTGGCTGCGACTCAAATTAACCTTGAGCGGCTAAGTTGTCTTATTGCAAGTGGTTCGAGTCGGAATCTGATATCCAGGAAGAAATTGTTAAAAGTCGCTCATTAGTTGTGCCTGGGGATGGGGCGTGAGGGTTTTGACGATCGCTTCGCTCCTGAAGATGGCGAAATTCCCCACAACGGCGCGCTGAATGGGTTGCGGGGTTTGGCGCAGTACGATGATGCGCCTGAAGATGGGGAGATAGCGGAGGACTTGCCGCCGCCCCCGCCACCGCCTCCGAGAAGACGCGATAAAAGCTCTGAGAGGCACTCAGATAAAAACGGTGCTAGGGATGTTGAGAAGGAGCGAGGCCGCTCAAGAGACAGCCGGCGGAGCACGAGTCCCGGTGATCGTGCAGAGAAAGAGAGGAAGGAGCACAGGGATAACGATCGCGACAGGGAGAGAAAAGAGAAGTCATTGGACCTGGGAAGAAAACGGGACGGCGATAGGTACAGGGAGAAGGATTCAACCAAAGAGAGGGAGAGAGACAGGGAAAGGGATCGTGACAGGGAGAAAACTAGAGATGGAGACAAGGTACGGGATCGAGAGAAGGATCGTCACAAAGATCGGGATCGCGAACGAGACAGGGGGAAAGAAAGGGATCGCGAGAAGGACCGCGAGAGGGAGAAGGCGAGGGAGAAGCGGAGCGAGGCAAGCAAAGAGCCAAGGGAAAGAGAGAGAGATAGGGAGAGGCGAAGGGAGACCAGCGAGAAACCAAGAGATCGGGATGACCGGGAGAAAGAGAAGGAGAGGAGGCGAGAAGCGAGTGAGAAGCCAAGAGATAGGGAAGACAGGGAAAGAAGAAGAGAAGACAGTGAGAAGCCGAGGGAGCGGGAGAGGGAAAGGAGAAAGGACGAGGATGGTGACAGGAGGAAGGATCGGCGGAGCCGGAGTCCGAGCAGGGACAGGCGGGAGAAGCGGGGGCGGGACTCGGAAGCTGAGGATCAGGATCGAAAGAAGGTCAAGATGGAAATTGAAGAAATGAAGGATGTCAAACTGGAAGAGGTGGGGAAAGGAGCGGCTGTGAAGGAGGAGGATATGATTGATGAGAAAGATGATAAGAAGGACGTGAAGAAGGTGGAGGTGAGACTCCCTGTCTAAAAGCTATCTGTTTCCAAAATACCGCTTCTTGCTTAATGCCGAGCATCCCTTGGACTTTTTGGTGATTGTTCAAAGCATCGAAACACCTCCGACCAATATGCAGCCAAATGCAGACATGTGGATCTTGTTGAGGATGGCATATTGGTAGTGTCCTGAGAGTAAGTGCTGCTTCTCTTGTTTCTGACGCCCTGACGAGGCGGGGCTACTTTTCCAGTGACTCAATTCAAAAATAAGATTCACACCAATTATGACTCAGTCTCATGTTCTGTGCAGCCACTGTCTCTGGAGGACCTGCTCAAGAAGCGCCAGCAGGAGGCAGCCGAACTGGCAAAGGTAAGAGCGCACACACTTTGGTTGAACAAGTTCTCCCCTTCAAGCAGGTAGGGGCCGCAGCTGTTGCACCACCGCTCTAAAGCACACTCAGCTCAACCTCTAACACAATTTCGTGTGGGTTGCTCTCTCAGCGGATTTCATGCAGGCCGTAAGCTTTGGATGTATGCTTCTTTTGTGGCGCATATTGTGCGACTGGTAGTTAGATATGGCATGGATCCTGAAGTTCTTTCAGGTGCTCGCAGGCTTGACAAATTGTTCAACATTACAGGTCCTGGCTGGATTTGATAATTACCACCTCCTCTGAAGCGCCACACCACAGGTGGTTTTTCCATCACATGTGAACTGGTCGCAGTTCCTCTACAGAACTTGAAGCCATCTCTTAGTTGTGACCATGTCGATCACCTTACATTCTGAGCGAGAGAAGGATTACAAGACGCGACTGTATGTTCTTTCTGCAGCCAAAGTTCCTTACCAAGAAGCAGCGTGAGGAGCTCGCAATGAAGCGGCGCGAGGAGGAGGCGGCACTGCAAAGGCAAAAGGTCGAGGAGCAACGGAAGGCTCTGTTTGGGCCCCCTGCCGCTGTCGCAGGGGGAAAGGATGCTCAATCAGGTTAGACATCGTGTTTATTTTGTGCGTACTTGGTACTGGTCTTCTGACGGCTTTCCAATTAGGATCAGCTATTTCCTTTTTGTCCAAGTCGTGCTTGAGTCGATCGACCAGTCGGAGTGTTGTGCTCTGGACTTGGCCCCTTGTGCAGCTCTATACGCCCGTGTGTAATACTTGCTTGCTTCCAAGTTGTGGATTTATTGCCACGTTCAAAGAGATTATTTCCATCAAGAAAGCTTCTGGTTGTTTCCATTGAGAGTCAGATCGTGTCAACTGTCTGAGTTTCAAATTTTCGCTGCGAACTAGGACAAAAGGTTTAAGAAAAAGAGAAGGCGACCTGGTGGTAGGCGGCGCCTAGTTCGAAAGTTCGGAGTGATCCCGATAAGAGCGTTGTTGCGGAAACGACGAGGATCAGAGTTGGGATCCTTCCGCACCAAGAAGCGGCGAAAGAGAATGTCGTCAGGAGGTAACAAGATCCAAACACAGATTTCATCCGCACATGGTGAGACAATGTTTCCCATATCCTACCCCACAAAGCACTCGTTCCGTATGTTTATCATGTCGTCCTTCCTGTGCAGATCGTGACAGGGACCGCGACAGAGATCGCGAACGCGACCGCGAAAGGGAAAAGGAACGGGAACGCGAGAGGGACCGCGAGCGTGATCGAGAACGAGAGCGGGACCGAGACCGGCGCGACAGGGACCGGGACCGGGACCGAGGCCGTGGGGACGATCGGATGACTGCGGAGGAGAGGGATCGAGAGAGGAAGGAGCGGAACGCGCAGAAGGAGAAGGAGAAGGAACTGGAGGCCATCAAAGAACAGGTGGGTGGACGAAAGCTTTCCGCATCGTGTTGACTGGGAAAACGCAACGGGTTTACCTTGAGAGGCTTTCAGATTGCCTTGTGTTGAGCGTCTTACCTGGCGTCTTCGCCAGTGGAGTCTCTCCGCGCGTCCTTGCCCTGAATCAAGTTTCCAAGTCGATCCAGAATCCGGTCGATCGTTATTTGAGGTCATCTTAGAGACGGTCTTGCTCTCTCCAAGACAAGACCGGAGAAGCTTGCCAATTCTCTGTCTTGTGCCCAAACAAGTGTTCTTTTTGTCCAGTACCTCGGGCTGGCCAAGAAGAAGAAGCGCGTAATCCGCCCGAGCGACAAGTTTAAGTTTGCGTTCGACTGGGAGGCGGGCGAGGACACGTCGCGCGACCTCAACCCGATATACAACAACCCTCACGAGGCGCAGCTGCTGTTCGGGAGAGGCCTCAAGGCGGGGATTGACGTCAGGGTGCAGAAGAAGGTAAGCGCACATTTCCTTTAAGTTGAAGTACTTGACCTTTTAGGTGATTAAAAAACCATTCTTATCAGGTGGAAGTATTCGACCTTTCAGTTGAATGCGGACTCCGAGGTCCGGTTGAGCTTTACTTCACGAAAGAGACTGGATCTGAAGTCCAACTTGCTGGGTTCTGGAAGCAAGTCGTGCCAGAAAGTTTTGGGGTCCGGTTATAATTGTCAAACGGGACGTTTGTGGTTGAGAGTTTCTGTCTGTCAGCATACTTGTGTTTCTCCCGCCCTTATGCTGGTCGTGAGTGACTCCAGCGTCTGGAAGTCGTGCACGACGTTCAATGGTGAGCGACCCTCACATTTTGTACTCGATGCTCAGCGCAAACAAGAAATGTGCCTGCCTGTCAACCGCCAAATAGACTCGTAAAGTCTGACTCAAATACCAGGACAGGGAGCCCTCAGCATTTGCCGATTTCAAACAGAAGAATCCCGCAGCTATAAGACCGACTTTCCGGGTACATTCGAATCCATTCTGTGGAAAAAGCAGGAGTTGGCAGACCCTACGAGAGTTATATTATGACACAGGCTTACGAGTAGCTAAATTGAAACCTCCGTCAACTCGATCATCATCCTCCCATCTCACGGCCGCTCAGCGAGGTGAGGAGTTGTTTGCGCGGCGCTGGAGAGAGCACGTCACGAAACATCCGCGAAAAAGTTAATCGACTGTCCGGAAGTATGTATCACTGAACCCGTCTCAGGCGGCCGCCCAGCAAGAGAAGGAGCTGTTTGCGCAGCGCCGGAAAAGCACGTGTTGAACACACGTCGCGGAGAGTCCACGTGACTCTTTGCTAACCCGACTCTGCTTAACCCATCTCAGGCGGCCGCCCAGCAAGAGAAGGAGCTGTTTGCGCAACGTCGGAAAGAGACGGGCGAGGTGCAGACGGAGGAGGAACGGGCGTCGGACGCACGCAAGGCGCGCGCTGCCGACGAGTACAACTCGTCGTTCGACATGCGCGTCGACGCGCACTGGACGCAGAAGAAGGTGCGTGCAGATGGTTAAGGAGGTGTGGGGATAGGGGGATGCTTGACGGAAGCTCTCTATTTAAGGTTGTTGATTGTGAGCTGCCAATATCGCCAAACGATTCTTGGTCGTTCGGGGTGCGAATAAGTACAGAAAGAGGTTTGCCCGCTTCGTCTACATATTAGTCTCCAAATAGATCTGCAAAATAGTCCTCATAATTGTCTTCAAATAGATCTTTAAATAGAGAGCTTATTTGCAGCTCATCAAGGTGCGCGAGCTCAGTGATGCGTTGGCCTGAGGTGGTTACGAGGGGCGCTGTTAGCGCGCTGCAAACTCTGACGCGGTTTGCTGCTCATAGGCTGAGATGTTCTCGCTCGTGTGTCTGCAGTTGTCGCAAATGACGGAGCGCGACTGGCGTATCTTCCGAGAGGACTTCAACATCTCTTTCAAGGTATGTGCGCCGCCCTCTCCTCTACTTTGCTTACCCCCCTTTCTCACACACTCCAGCCTTGTCACCCCTTCTGCCTCGCGTACTCAGTCCCAAACGAGCTGATCTACAATTGCCGTGGAAAACATGCAGAAACTTTTCAGTGGTCTCGGCACGGAGAAATGTATTCTCCCTTTCTGATTGAGCTAAACGGAACGTCTCCCTTCAAATTGTATGGTCAATTAGACACACGAGCAAAAGTTTTCGGATTTGTACCCGCAAGAGTGCAAGCTTATGTAGAAGGATCAACGAGAGTCGGTGCCCAAGCAAGGTGCAACTTTACATCGCAGTGTGGCCCTATGGTTTCGGTCAACACGTCATAGAGCGCTTCAATTAGATTACCACCGTTAGTAGCTTCTGACTTTGCGGTTTCGACTATATTATGCTTATCACAAACTACAGTTCTTGGGATACGCCAACAAACACTTAGCACACTCTCTTATCCACAGGGCTCCAACATTCCGGAGCTGATGCGCAACTGGGACGAGAGCGTGCTGATCAAGACTGCAACTGCAAGAAGAGCAATCCTTGAAAGTAGTCTACCTTTTTCTCAATTGTTTTGTAGATTAGCGGATTGACAAACCTGCCTTTCTGCACAGGGCTCCAACATCCCGAAGCCGATGCGCAACTGGGACGAGAGCGGGCTCACCAAGGAGGTGCTCCAAGCGGTGGAGAAGGCCGGCTACACGAAGCCGTCGCCCATCCAGATGGCCGCCATCCCGCTCGGGCTGCAACAGCGTGACGTCATTGGCATCGCCGAGACAGGTGCGTCGTTTCTTGGTTTGTTGGTTTTATGTCCTTGACTTGGAGTTCGAATATCTTTCCTTAGAGTCAGAATGCTCCAAGCGTTGCTGTTGGCAATCCACTGGCAGCTTTGATCTGGACAGTCGTTGTGAATCAGCAGCTTTTGACGTCTCTCTCCCGCCTTATTGCATGAGGATTTCATGTGTGGCTTCGTGTAGTGACTCTCCTCTGCGTGGTTTAACTTTGCATAGCTCTTCGAGTCTCGGTTGATGAGCTTCAGGATGGTTAAGCTCACAACCTAACGCTGAAACCATAACGTTTGCGGTCGCTTGCTACATAGTCATTCCCACTCCGAATCCAGGATTAAGCCTACTCGTTTCAGGCCGGCAATCTTGCTACTCATCACGCTTCGTCCTAATAATTCAGCATTGTAGTATCCGCATACTTGTCACAATGGTTGACTGTAAGTGTTTGTGGTTGTGGTTGCAGGTTCTGGCAAGACGGCTGCTTTCGTGCTGCCCATGCTGGTGTACATCAGCAAGCTCCCCCCGCTGACAGAGGAGAACGAGGCGCTCGGGCCATACGCGCTCATCATGGCGCCCACGCGCGAGCTGGCGCAGCAGATCGAAGAGGAGACTGTCAAGTTTGCGTCCTTCATGGTAAGGCCCGTCTTCGATTCAATAATGTTCTTGGTTGTCTGCTAGAATCCTTTGTCTCGCCTTGCGTTGATAGGACTTCAGCTTGAGTATCAATCGCGCTTGAATCTCATTCTTGGCGCCCACGCACGAGCTGGCGCAGCAGATCGAGGAACAGACCGTCAGGTTTGCGTCCTTCATGGTGAGGCTCCTTTTGAAACGTCAAATTTTTTCTTCTCTTTCTCTGGTTTCTCTTTCGTCTCGTCTTGCCTATAGAGGACTTTTGCTTGGTGACCTTCATGGCGCCCGTGCGCGAGCTCGCGCAGGAGCTTGAAGAAGAGACCGTCAAGTTCGCGTCCTTCATGGCAAGGCCCGTCTTTACCGTCTGTGTTCTCTTTTTTTCACTTTTCTTCCGCTTTGCCTTGCGTCGACAGTACTTCGCTTGGTAAGTATACGTGGTTCACACGCAAGCTCTCGCGGTAGATTGAGGAAGTGGACGTCAAGGTTGCTGTGGTCATGGTCACCTTCTTTGGCTCTCGATTTTTTGTTTTATCTTTTCGGCGTCTTAGGTCGGACTAAGGAAGTTAAGTTTCTGTTTGAGCTGTCAGCATGCGCGGGTTTGATTCCCCGTTGGAGCAGCCGGGCTCTGCGTTGCCTCGTAAGTCAACCAGGTTCGAAGGAGAGACCGTCAAGTTCGCGTCCTTCATGGTTTGGCCCCGTTTGACAACGGTCTTCGTTTACTCGTGCTCGGCACGGTCTCGCCTTGCAACGACAAGACTTTCGCCTATGTTTTGGCGGCCAGTCCTTGAAGCATGCCGGGTGCTCTGCGGCTGCAGAGTTCCGGACCCGCGAATTTTCGAAGCAAAGTTTCCCCTACTTGAACTTGCTTCCGGTAGCACGTGTTCCGAGTGACCTCCACGTTGGCCGTCCGCCCCGAATGCTTGATGAGCATAACGCGAATCCGAGCCAGGAAATTGACCCCTTTATTCTACACACTTTCTACAGGACTTCCGCGTCACTTCGATCGTGGGCGGCCAGTCCATCGATGAGCAGGGCTTCAAGTTGCGGCAGGGGTGCGAGATCCCGAGCCGCAAATTGACTAATCTATTACTGTTGACTATTCAAATACTATCTATCCCCTGCAGGACTTCCGCGTGACTTCCATTGTCGGCGGCCAGTCCATCGAGGAGCAGGGCTTCAAGCTGCGACAGGGGTGCGAGATCGTGATCGCAACCCCCGGGCGCATGCTGGACTGCCTCGAGCGGCGCTACGCGGTGCTGCAGCAGTGCCACTACATCGTGCTCGACGAGGCGGACCGCATGATCGACATGGGCTTCGAGCCGCAGGCACGTGGCTACCTCTCATTCAGATGCTGAAGTCTGATTGCTCTACGTTTTGGAATAAAGGATTTTTGAGAGTGAAATGTCGCTCTGTGTTGTCTTGATCAGTCCCTTAAAATGTTGGAAAATTCCTCTGTTATCGTTTCGTTCATCTGGACGTTACTGCCCTTTTGATTGTTGTCGATGTCTTTGGCAAAGCCACCCTTCCCGCCGGGTCGGACTTGTTTTTATGCACGATCTGCGTGCAATTGGAGCCCACATCCATGTTAAGCTCGGCGCCGTAGTTCCAGACTGCCGAGGATATCTATGGATCCGCCCCGCAAACGTTAAAGTGACTTTCCTTCGATGTTCAACGTGCCAAATGTTTCGGGATCTACGAGGGGATTATCTGGACGCTGTCTTCGCCGAACAGATTCCTCGAATTTGGCGTGTATTAACTGGGCTTTGAGGATCGGTCTATAGACTTCCGAGAGCTCCGGCGGAAAAAGCAAGGCTTGGAGTAGAGAGCCGAGCTAAGATCGGTCGGCGACCCCTTAAAAATGGTCCAAACTGAGTTTGCGATCAGCCCTTGGATACGAACGGCGGAACTGATGCCACGTGTCCCCTGCAGGTGGCTGCGGTGCTGGACCTGATGCCGTCCTCTAACCTGAAGCCCGAGAACGAAGACGAAGTAAGTGTCGGCGCTTCCCTCTTGCTCTGAAGGAAACTCTGCCTTGAACCATTGCATTCCTTCTCGGATGAATATCAGCTTTGTCTTGCTCAGACGGACCGGGTGCGGTAAGAGCCATCAAATCCTAGTCAATATTAAGATTGACTTTTGCGTTGGACGACTATTGTCTGGGCTTTCCAGCGCCTGTGTCGGTTTTCTTGGCTCAACGGTTTGGCCAGAATGGCTGAATCCGCACAGGGAGGGCCAAAAGCGCTCTTCTGAGAAGGGGCAGAGCTTTTTAGAAGGGACTCCGGCCAAGGCCCTTGACCGTTAAAGAGTTGATGGCATCCTGAAGTCACTTGCACGCAGAAGTTTGAGGACACCTTGCATGTTCAAGGTGAACGGTGCTGCAACTTGTAGGCCCCTTTTATTGTCTTTCTTCGTAGTAGCTTTGGAGGGCATTGCGGCCTCATACACGACGGACATGTTCAGCACAACAATGCAGCAACTTGCTCGTCACTTACACGTTTTCATACCACCCAAAATTGTCGTTGCTGACGTCACTTTGAGGTCACTCTTCGCAGGAGCTGGAGGGCGACAAGCTCTACTGGGCGACGATGCAGCGTTTGTTCGTAGTTGTCACCAAGGTGTCGAGAATTTGAAGACCATAAGTCTACGTCACCCAACGTCACCGATGCTGAGCTCATTCTGATGTCACTTTCCGCAGGAGCCGGGGGGCGACGAGCTGTACCGCACTACTTACACAACTAGCGCGGCGATGCCGCCAGCGCTGGAGCGCCTCGCACACCTTGCGCACCTGAACTCAGATTTCTGTCAATGCTGACGTCACTCTGACGTTTTTTTCTTTCCGCAGGAGCTGGAGGGCGACAAGCTGTACCGGACGACGTACATGTTCAGTGCCACGATGCCGCCAGCGGTGGAGCGCCTTGCGCGCAAGTACCTGCGCCAGCCAGTTGTCGTGACGATCGGGCACGCAGGGAAGACGACGGACCTCATCACACAGACGGTCATGATGGTCAAGGGCGAGAACGAGAAGAAGGACAAGTGAGAAGATCTTCTTTGGCTGCGGCTTTG